AGATTTAGAATCACAATAAATAACACGTTGCTCATACACTTTGAGCATCACAATAAATAACACGTTGCTCATACACTGCAGGAAGAAGTATAAACTTTTGAAAAGATAAATTTACCATTACTCATTAAAATGAAAAACACATATACCTTATGACAAACATACTACCCCAAGGTATTCATCCTATGGATATATCCTCACATATATAAAATATATAGATATTCATTATAGCTTTGTAATAACAAAAAGATCTCAAGCAATTTAAATATCTATTAAAAAGGCACTGGTCTAATACTTTTCACACACCGTACACTTCAGAATGATTAAAACATACATAACAAAATTCAACATGTTATGGTGCAAAAATCAAACATATTTAAACAAAACTAATAAAAAACATGTTAACTAAACTTGATAGTAATATTTTGTTGAAATAAAACTACTAGTCACAATATAAATATGATACCAAAAGATCTGGTGCATGTTCTTTTATGTTCAACAAGCCTTTTCTCCAATAGATGTGATGGCTCAATTTTTTATCCCTATTTAAGTACGGGAACTCTTCATTTAATAAGAGTATATTATTAATACTTACACATTCTGTCTACCTTTATTTTCATTGCAAGCATGAACTCTCCTAATCATATTCATCACTTTATAGATGAATATGATTATGGTCTCTATAAAGAGACCAGCAGATGGCATGATGGTTATATTACTGGACTCCCACTTAGTGATGGTGGTTAAAGTCCCAGATCTGGCAGCTTAAAATTCATGCTGGGTGCATGTGCATGCATGCCCAAAATCCTCAGAGGAGAATGCAGGAGAAGGAAGGGACTGCAGTGTGGCCATCCCCCTTGGGGTGGGGGGGATAATTTCTCAGTTTCTACCTCTCTGGTGAGCACACACAGCCTAAGCAAAAATCTCTCTTAAAAAAAGAAGTGAATACAAAAAAAAACTAGCATACGCGCATATACTTTTATTCATGTCATTTGAAAGAAAACATAAAGCTCTAATTTCTCTGAGAGTTTATTAACCCCTGAAAATATGTCCAACCATCTCCAGGGGACCTAAAATCCATGTGAAAAACACTAACCTTTCCAATAAAGAAATTTTACCACTTCCTTGTTATTAGTTCTTTAATTCTCTCTTTACTACCTCTTTCCTCTCAGCCTGCAAAACATTACTTTTATTTATTTATTTGTTTGTTTGTTTCAGAGGATTTTGCCATGTGGTTAAGGTGCTCACCAGAGACAGAGAAAGAGGCAATTAGAGGGAAAGGGAGAAATCACCCCCCACAGGGAATGGACATGCACACTGCTCTTCCATTTTCCTCCTGGGATCTCGAGCACACATGCACATGCACCTAGCATGAATTTTAAGTCACCAGGTCTGGGACTCAAACTGTGGTTGGCCATGTGGGAGTCCAGCGACATAACCACTATGGCATTTGCTAGTCCCAGGATACTGACTACTCTTTTACCTTCCTTATATGTGGGGCATTTTTCATAAGAAAAAGGTGATGGATGAAGCTGGAGCACCTCCACTTTGAACTCCTCTCTAAACTGAAAACTTGCTTCCTCCTTTTGCTGAGGATAACAGTGATTAACATTCCTACTATCTGCTAAATAACCAGAAACTCCCTACCTTCAGTGTTCCTTAGGCCAAACTTCTAACCCTGAGCCATGAAGACCATTAAGATTCCATTGTGTATGTCTAAGGACTGGAAAGTCCCCAACCCTAAAGACGCCCAGGTAACAGTGCTTAATTATGCTCCTGTTCAAGTGCACTTGGAAAGGTCACTTCTTCCTCTTGTCACCTCCCCCTTCTCAACAGTTACTGCTCCCTGCTCCTAACACATCAACCCAAATGTGGTTTTTGCCTTTATAAGACCCCTTCTCCCTACACTTGGGGCTGTGGGATCTTTGAAAGACAAGAATCCTCCAGCAGCCGCCAGTTTATTAATAAAGAACCCCTATAATTTGACTATGTCTGGATGTCCTCTTTTTTTCTTGCTGATCAGACTATAACATGAGAAAAACGGGGACATATTTTAACTGAGACATACAGGTTTGTAACTCACTTAGGCTGCATTAAATTTAGAATTAAAAGTGTATCAAAAAGTGAGTGTAAGGGGGAGCCGCCGCCGCCACCAGCGACATGTTCAAGGGAATCCAGAGGTCTCGACTGCAGTTCGCGTCCCGGACCCGGTGGCTTAAATCTCACACTGGGCACGTGTGCGTGTGTGCCCAAGATCTTGAGGAGAATGGAGGAGAAGGGATTGCAGCATGACCATCCCCCCTGGGGGGTGATTTCTTGCTTTCTGTCTCTACGTCTCTCTCTGTCTCGCAAGCACACGCGTCCTATGGCGAAAATCTCTCCAAAAAATAAAAAATAAAAAGTGAGTGTATAGGTCGCTCATCTCCATGTTTTTCTATATACTATATCCGTCTCCAGCAATCCACCACAAGAAAGTGTTCCTCACAAAGCTCTTTTTCCCAAATTAACCTCCCTCTGAATGAGAAGCAGGAGAATATCAGGATGTTGGCACAGGTTTCCCAATCTAGTGAATGTACTAAATTAGAAAAGGGATTAAAAGATTAAGGATTGAGTAAATTAACTCCCTCTACAATGTATCTTAACTTTTAACTCCCCCTCATATTTAGCAGGAACGAGAATGAGAAACCATAGTAGAACACAAATAAAGCCCAAAATCAATAACAGAATATATTCTATTCCGGAGCCTGAACATCATCCTCTGGTTAAAAAAATTAGTTTCCATGATAGAAAAGAAATGGTCGTATGTACATCATTATCTGACTCAGGTTTGACAGTAGAGAAACAAGCCTGGGAAATCATCCAACAAACATGGAAGGAAAAAAGGAATAAGGCATGAAAGGGGGAAAGAAGGGCGTATCAATGATCCAGAAAGCAGCTAAATTGCTATGTCCAGAGTTATCCCTAAGGATCTCCCCTAAATTGATACCAACTCCAAAAGTTTTTATCAACTTCCTCCTGACGTTATTTAGAGCTTTTGAAGTTACGAGCATATAAATGGCATAAGGATAATGTTCAGTATCAAAAATAAAGAACTCTTTCCTGCCCCAACATTAAAGGAATCCATTCATAGGCAAAACTCATTCCTTAATCATCACAAACTTCAAGAACCTCCTTCAAAAACGTTAAGCTTTTAAAGCACTTTATTGGGGCCAGCAGGTGCATGGTGGTTAAGGCGCTGGTCTCCCACATGGCTGATATGGTTAAGTCTCGAACCTGGTGGCTTACTTTCTCACTTTCCCTCATTCTGTTGTCTCTGTCCGTACAATCAGAAAGAGAATAATGATAATGAATAAAATCAAATAAGATACTTATTTTTAAAAAAGCACTTTATCAGTTCCCACTGGTATCATAAAGATAGCAGTTACTATTCTACAGCCTAAAAGACATGGCTGGTTCCCTGAATCTGTAAGTTCAACAAAAAAATGAATAAAATGTAATTTAGGAGAATATATGGCCTTCCACAAGGCCAAATAAACATCTGTGAACCACCTTAAATAGTAACCTCTTACAGATACAAAAAAAACTCAAATCATTATTTTAGCCAATTCAACAATGAAGAAATGAGGCATTCATTAAGTTCTTAGTTTTGCCACAATTAGCATATCTGGATAATTAGACTGATTTGAAGTTCCTCCACATTATAATGAATTAATAATCTATTCATTTCAAATTCACCTCTCTAATTTCACTACAATTAACACGAATTTTTCTTTTCTATAACAGAGATTTTTGCTGTAGGGCATGTGCACTCGCCAGAGAGACAGAGACAGACAGAAAGCATGAAATCACCCCCCCAAGGGGGAATGGCCATGTCACAATCCCTTCTCCTCCATTCTCCTCTCATCTTGGGCACAAACACACATGCGCCCAGCATGAGTTTAAGTCACCAGAGTCCAGGACTCAAACCACTGTCAATTACGTGGGAGTCCAGCGACATAACCATTACGCCATCTACTGGTCCCAACATGACTTTTTTAATTAAATCTTGTTTGTTTGTTTGTTTTTTAATAAATCCCCAGAGGGTACAGGCATTCACCACAGTGACAAAGAGATAGAGAGAGGGAGAAAGCATACCCCAACAAGGCATGGTCACATGGCAATACCTCCTCTTCCATTTCATGAGGATTTGGCGCAGGCACACACATAAACTCAGCGTCCTTCTTTTTCTAGCCATCAGAGCCAGAATTCAAAACACTGTCAGCCATGTGGGATCTGGGTCCCTTAGCCACTACATTACAGGACCAGTCCAAATATCAACTCTTTTTTTTTTAAAGAATTATTTTCATTTAACTTTATTTATTATTATTATGATTTGTTTTTTAATTTGACCAGAGAGAAACAGAGAGAGAGACAGAGAGAGAGAAAGTAAAAAAGCAAGCTGCCAGGTCTGAGACTCGAACAGCCATGTGGGAGTCCAGCGTCTAACCACCATGCCACCTGCCAGCTCCCCAAATATCACATCTTTAAACATAATTAATTTTATTCTTAAGAAAAAGATTATATTTGACCAACAATTTGTAATAAAATCTTAATTGCCAGAGGACATGTGTGCTTGGTACAGAGGGAGAGAGAATCCCTTGATGAAGTATGGTCATGCTACAATCCTTTTTCTTCCATTTATCCAGCCCATCAGGATTTAAGGCCCACGCACATCCCTGGCATGTGTTTCAAGTTGTCAGGGCCAGCTCCCTTAACCACTGGCCAATGGGGCCAGCCCTATAAAAAGTCTTATATGTCTATTATAAAGTATAAGATTTGAATTACATGGTTATTGGTGCAATCACTAAAGATAAATGACAACAAAACAATCTAACCTGACAACAATCTAGTAGTACTGTTGTCAACTACTAATATTTTCAAACATAACATTCACTTTTGAATAATCACTTGAAGAATACTATGATTGGCCAAGTATAAATCTGAACAACAAAAAGCAGTCTTACCCGTACAAGGTGGTTCAAATGCCGTCATTGCAGATACTTCAAAACAGTATTTGCCACTAGGATTATCACTGTGATTAATTTCCCTAGTACCTTCTTCAGTAGGCAGAAGATTTAAACTGCATATTCTAGGTTCATTTTGTGACTGGAGAAAGGTATCATTATTTGCAGCACCCTAAAAGAACCAAATATAAGTTATAAGCCAAAATTAAGTCTAAATTCCGATACATCTACCTAATTGATTTTTTTTTGGGGGGGAGAGGTTTTTGCCATAGGGTACGTGTGCTCACCAGACAGAGAGAGACAGAGAGACAGAAAGCGAGAAATCACCCCCCAGGGTGGATGGTTACCACACAATCCCTTCTCCTCCATTCTCCTCTTGGGATCTTGGGCACCCACGCACACGCCCCTGGCGTGAGGTTTTAGCCCCCCAGGCCCCGAGGTCCAGGATGCAAACTGCGGTTGACTACATGGGAGTCTAGCGACATAGCCATTATGCTAACTGCTGGTCCCTTTCATTGATTTTTAACTTAAAATGTGAGTTATCAGTATCTGTATATCTAAATTAAGAATATTTAAAAATAAATTAAAATCTAAGTTTTGTTTTCAAAATGTTTAAAATGTTGGGAACCAGCAGTTAGCATAATGGCTATGTCGCTGGACTCCCACGTAGTCGACCGCGGTTCGCGTCCCGGGCCCGGTGGCTTAAA